ATTGTTAATCCAATGAAAAATAGTAATTAAATCCACAAACGAGGGTAACAAATTAAGTCGGCACAGTATTATTCTAAAACAGAGCGTCGTCCTTACATAAAACATAACAGTTCAAATCGTTTAGATCAAATAATTAATTTTGACTTACATCATAACTTTTTAACTATCGTAAATTTATCTATTTATATTTAACTTTTTAACCATAATAAATATGTTAATCATATTTATCTTTTATTCAAAATAAATATTTTAATCACAACAAATATTTTGATTATAGAACAAAAAAATGACGGCTTATATGAGAAGTAATACTATTCAAACTTAATTTCTTGACCTTATTTTCGCCTCATCAATTAATGCAAGGTCTTGTCAATGCAAAGATTTAACTGTTCCAACTTGAACAATCTGTGTTGACCCCTCCAAAGTTCTTCACAAGACCTGAATTCCCTAGCATCTGGAAGGAGCAACAAAGTTCAACAACTAACTATGGAATTTTGTGATAACAATAAATATTGATTTAGACATCAATCTGCCCTCTTCCTCTTATCTCTCTTGGTTTCAAATTCAAGGTGGTGGAATTGAATCACAATGTGACAAAGATCTATGGGAGCATCATAGTTATAGGAGTCGATCCAAGTTTGTCATATTCTTCTAATAACAGTGTAATAATCAAAATTTCTCGAACGTCAACATTACTCCCCCACCACCTCCGTCATTTATCACTTACATAAAGTCGCGCGGGTTGAAAAAAAAAAAGGAATGAGATTATAATTCTTTTGATTCATTCCTATATCTTTTCTCAATTTTTTTTTATTATTAATAGTTGATATGTATCATAAATTGAAGTGAAACTTACGATATATATGTGCGTCATTTAGCATCTACGGGGGTCAATCCTTGTTAAAGACCAAGCTTGATCCCTTATATATGTGTCTGTGTTTCTTGTTTATACCATCTACGGGGGTTCAATTATGTTGTTTTATCGGATATGCATGATTCATTTAGACTTCATTTGACATATGATATAAAAAATGAAGAAAAGGTACAATAGAAGAACTTAGAGGGTATACCGGAAGGATCACTGCCTGTAAAATCCTTGCAAGTTCACAATGCCAGAGGTTTCGCGGCTGATTTGTATGAAGGTCTTTTATTGTCCAAGCTTTTAACTACTCAATGGCATGGCCAGAAGAAAAATAGTATAGTAAACTACACATTCAACCTTTTATGTCAATTGAACTCTTAAATCCTGTAATTGTATCAATTGAGTCCTTATGTCTGTCTTCATTAGATTTTCTAATAGAAAGTGATAGAGTGTTCTACTCACGTGAAGGTTAAATGTGTGGTTTACTCAAAACAGTACAACAAAAGAATTGCTACAAGATGACTGAAGAGTACCTCCAATCCTTGCCCTTTTTAAACCTAAATTTAAATTTGGCTAAAAAAACTCCTCAAAACCTTCTCCAATGCTAATCTATACCCATATCAAATAAAGGACAACTCATTTTTTTACTCAAATTTATATCAAAATATTTAATTGTGAGATTTCATCATCCTTTAAAAATTTAATGGTCATATTTTATCAATTTTTCAATTTGGATTTATCATCATTTAAATTTGCGTTTTTTTTCATTTTCTTCGTTAACATTTGAGTTTCTTCATTGGAGATATCTATACCAAATCAAATTTTTTACCTTTTTTTTTTTTACTCAAATTTGAGTGTCCATCAGAGATGGTCTAACGAGAACACTATTGTAATGTAAAAACAAAAAAAATAAAATTGTACACCATGTACAAGTTTTATTGGTTTTTTTTTAAAATTTTTTATATCATTTATAATTTTTGAAATTTTTGAGATCGACCCTAAAATTCTTAAGATCAAGTTCAAGTATCCCAAAAAATCTATAACTTGAACCCTAAAAATTATACTATGATTCAAAAAATTATAATTTTTTTAAGATTGATCACAGGATTTTTTTATTACAAAACAAACTTAAACACGAGTATCTAAGCTCATGAAACTTGTAAAATTTAGCGGTAAGGTATTTGTTTTTTCGGACTACAGTCTTCCCTAAATATTAAACCAGGAGGGAAAAATGAATAGAATGGAAGGGACCATATGGTCAAGAGGGCGGCGAATAAAATATCCGATGACCGGAATCGACGGTCTTCATGATGTTACATTACGTACGAAGTTCAATACAGACTAGTTGTTTTACAGGGTGGCGGCTAAGGGTAAGCTAAGGCTAAACACAGTTTCTCTCTCCCAACGTTGAATTTGAATCCTTCCTTCTTCTGCTTCTCTTCAACTTTCTCCACAAAATAATTACCAGTTTTAGAGAATTAAATAGACTTTTTTAGAGTGTTTCTTATGCAGTTGACATTTTCGTTATGAGGTAATGCAACACATGAGCACTATGGTTTGAATTTCTTTTTCTCTTTCTTAAAACAAGTCAAAAGCTGGTGGCTCTCTTGAACCTATAAGAACCCCATGCATTGAAATAGAAATGAGAGAGAGAGAGAGAGAGTTGTAAAGCAATTGGAGTCTACTATGGAGAGGTCTCTTATTGGAAAAACCATGACCAAGGAAGAGAATACTAGAGAATCTATTGGTGGTAAAGAGGAGAATCCAATGAAGGCAAAGAAGGTGTTATTCTTTTCCATGTTCTAAATCGAAATTAACATTAGCACGTATTATGTTTTGTAAAATTTTGATATCTATATGTTTGACTCTGATCTTTGTTTTGAACTTATGAGTGCATGTTTGATATGTTTTCGATTAATAAGATGATTTCTATTAATTGAAATGCAAACATATATAATATCTATCCCATTTATAATCAACACTCAAAATCAATGAAAAAAGAAGAAGAGGAGGAGCAATAGGGATGGCTGATCTTCTTTGCAAGGGGCAGAAGATTAATTAACCATCCCTTTTCCAAAAGGAGTAAACTGAGTGCTGTATGTTTCTGCTAAGTTTTCGATTGCTTTAGGTATTTCCAACAGAAAAAATTGAAAAACTCCATTTTTAGATTTTGGATGAGTGATTGAGTTTATGTAGAAGAAACTCTAGGCTAGACTGATTGCATCGGGCTTCATTTTAAATTTGAGAAATGCTTTCTCTCCTTTTTTTTTTTTTTGTCGCGAAATGGGTTTCTCCGCTATTTGAATATTTTGTTTGCATCAAAAACGAATCCCGCTTGAATCTACTTGTAGCATTCATAATATTGTGTTTTACTTTGTTTAAATCATTCTTTTTTCATGAATGAAATCATCGTGTTTCAGATCACGGAGGACAAAAGTTTAAATCTTTCTTCACCTGATGAAAAAGCTCCAACAATTGTCAAAGAGGTAAAGAAAAACAAAATTGACTATATATGCAAACTTCATAAATATTTGTTTTGGGTAAACAAACTTCATAAGTATTACTCCTTGGAAAACATAAGCTTTATCTTTTTGGATTATTGTTTTAGTAATCTCATGTAACTTTAATAAGTTTCGTTGACCATCTAGTTTTCAGGATCATTTTATTTTGTCGGGTTTATGTCATTTTATTACTACAGATTTGCAAAGTTGGTATAGTAATTAAACCACAACAGCAAACATAATCCATTCTTTATTTATAGAAACTTTTATTTTTGCCACAAAATCAAAAATAAAATCTACTTTTAAAAAAAGAGAGGCATAGTTAGTATACAATTATAATATATATTAGAATAAAACTAAAAAATTAAACAAGGAATCAAATTGTAATGAACACAATATCTTTTAGCTTCAATTGAGATAGTTTGTTATTTTAATTTGGTCGTTTAAATGACAATATTAAATTCCAATAGACAATATAATTGTATATTAATTATGATTTTTTAAGAAAATTTTGTATTTTGAAATTTTATTTTATTTGAATAAATAATATAATAAAACATGAATTTTAATTGTAAAAGTTAAAATATTTAATATTCTATATTTGATTGAAGTATTTTTGGTCTAAATATAATATTTTAAACTTAAGGGGTCTAAGTAATATATGTTTACAAATTTCAGAGAGTCTGAATATAATTTATTAATAGATATATTTATAGCAGGGGTTTAAGTGTTACACACGTACAAACTTTAAGGAGTCTGAATGTAATATTTCAAATGTCAAAGGTTTAAGTAATTAAGTGACAAACTTCAAGAGGTGTGAGTATAATTCTTCCTTCTTTATTTATATAAACTTTTATTTTCGCCCTAACTTATTCGGTTCAGTGTTTGCATGGCGATTAGGACTATCATTAATGAGTAAGACCCACCAAAAAAAATAAAAATAAAATTTATTACAGGGGATCTCACTCCAACGAATTGGAGCAATTAATTATTAGCATTTGGAAAAACATAAATGAAAAATACCCCATACATTAGACCACTTCTGGACCATTGGCTACATATAATTTAATCAAATGTTCCATTTTCTATACACCATGTGGTGGTTTTGACTTGTTGCTGTTGATGCTTTTGGACCATGAATCTCAAGATAAACTTGCAAAGTCCATATAGATTGGTCACCAAATTCCACAGCAACACAGATAGATCTAATCTATTCAACTATTCTAGCTAGGATTTTGTTTGGATATATATCTTATACTTACTTCGATGATTTCCTCTTCAGAAAAGGAAGAACCGAAAGTTTGTATGCATGTGATCTTAGAAATCCTAGCCCAATTTTTTTTTTTTGATATTCCATTTTATAAACCTGGATAGATCGATTGATAAACTCTAATGCGAGCTTTAGATACTACTTGATCTCTATAGACTATAAAACCATTTAATCTGACCCTTTCTATTTAGTAGGCTATTCTAACTTTCAAGTGAAACACATGTGCCATTAGAAACAATTGTTGAAAGGTCATGCATTGAGACAACTAATTCTAGAGACTCTTATTGCTCAACCATAAGAGTTGGACTAGAAATTCTTGAATTTGATTAACCGTTCAAGGTAGAAAGGTATGCCTCCAATCGGACTAATGGGGGTGTCTTAGTGTAAGAAGATTGTTCGGTGATTTTCAAAAGTTGAAAACTTAACTTTTTACAGTTCACAAAAAGAAAATGACTATTTTAGTATATTGCTTTCCGAGTCTGTATATCTATTTCCTAGTGGTGATGACTAACTATGCTTATAATAATTCTCTTTCTTTCATTCATTCATATTCTGTTATTGAAATTTATGATTTGTGCCGGGAGGATCAGTTGGAATCAGCTAAAGCCGAAAAGCGAGAAGTGAAAGAAGAAAACGAGAGGTTAAAAATGATATTATCTCGAATCATGAAGGATTACCAGTCTCTGAAAATGCATTTCCATGACAATGCCCAACTGCAAGATCCTAAAAAACCTGCAGATACAGTTCCTGTTGATCAAGAAGATGAAGAACAAGAACTAGTCTCTCTGAGCCTAGGGAGATTTTCAAGTGAACCGAGGAAGGATGAGAAGAAGATTCATGAAACCAGCAAAATCAAAGAGGATGGTAAGCATGGTCATGGAGGACTTGAGCTAGGGTTGGATTGCAGATTTGACCCAAGTCCATCTGAACTCCCCAAAAATCTAAGCACCAAAAGTAAATCCAGTGAATCGAAGGAAGAAGAACCTACTGAGACATGGCCACCCAGTAAGAGTCTGAAGACAGTCAGAGGTGAAGATGATGATGTTACATTCCAGAGCCCTTTGAAGAAAGCTAGGGTTTCTGTTAGAGCTTTATGTGACACCCCCACGGTTAGTATCTGGTTTTTATCCAAAATGATATATACTTTAGTACTAACTGTTTTTTGTTGTGGAAAGATAACGGTATCAAAAGTTACTTTTTAATATCGTATAGATTAGATTAGTAACTTTGTATTGATCTAAATGTCCAACTTGAATCGTAACTTTGACTAAAATGGAGTTGTAATATTTATAATTTTTGATATGTGGGAATTCAATATTATAGTCTTTCTCCCACCGTGATCATATGGAGTCACGTCTATTGGTTTCTAAAAGATAAATAAGATTTGAATCCGGATTGATTAACTTATTTGCAGATGAATGATGGTTGTCAATGGAGGAAATATGGACAGAAAATAGCAAAAGGAAATCCATGCCCTCGGGCATACTACCGTTGCACACTCTCACCATCATGCCCCGTGAGAAAACAAGTATATTTTCTGCCCTGATTATATTGAAATCTAATTAACAAGATATGCTTGATGATTTATAAAATGAAAATCTCATGGATTTTCTTCCTTTTTTACGGAAAAAAGAAGAAGAAAACTTCAAGTCATTCATGTTAAATGAACAAATCTCAACATGTTTGCAAATAAAATTTCCATCAAGGTTGTTTTGAAACACTCTCTACTCTCAACCCTATTGGTCTCTATTGATCCAAACCATGTCCGATACTATGCATTACTGCATAATAGAATTTTTCATGTTCTAACTTCTGCTGTAAATCACCAATTTCAGGTGCAAAGATGTGCTGAGGACATGTCTGTTTTGATCACCACCTATGAAGGAACTCACAACCACCCACTGCCAGTTTCTGCAACAGCAATGGCTTCCACCACCTCTGCCGCTGCTTCAATGCTAAGATCTGCCTCATCAAGCTCACAACCAGGCCTTGGGGCCATGTCTAACTCTGCCACCTCCATTGCTACAAACCTCCATGGAAATCCCCAGCCATTCTACTTCCCTAGAACTTCAATTTTAACATCTCAGTCACACCCAACTATTACCCTTGACCTCACTACACCAACCACATCTTCTCATCTTAGCAGGCTGTATTCAAGCTTCCCTTCTGCAACGAGATCCTCGACTCTCGACTTTTCTTCTTCTTCAATATCTTCTTCTTCTTTAGGGTTGCACACCTCAAAAACATCTTGGAGCAGTGGTTTCCCCAGTTATGGAACATTATCCAGCAACAAGACTAGCCATAATGGGATTTCATATTTGGGAAATAAATTTCCACAAGAACCTTTGTATCAACCATACATGCTTAAGAACAACCCCCAAACTCATCATTTGCCAGAGACAATTGCTGTTGCAACCAAGGTCATTACATCCGACCCAATTTTTCAATCAGCATTAGCAGCTGCAATTTCTTCATTTGTTGGCAATGGCAATGGCAATGTGGGTGAATGTGTTCGAGAAAATCGTAACAGGGGGGAGAATTCTGGCCAGAATGTGAAGTGGGGTGAGTCATTTCCTCCAACTGCTGCCTACCCCTCCACCCAAAACGGGATCGGGTGTGCAACGAGCTTCTTGAATAGATTGCCGCCTTCAAAGTCTCAACCAGTGAGCTTATCTTTGTTCCCAGCTTCATTTCCATTCTCTGTAGCTAAAAGTCCTTCTGTGTCTCCTGCTGAAAAGGTTGAAGATACAAAATGAAGGGTCGAATTTCATTCCCCTTCCAAACAGTAACCACCATAGTCTCAGTCACACCAAGAAGCTTTTGCACATCATCTTCCTTTGATCGTTAGTAAGCAAGACTAATATTTCAAACGTATGTCCAAGGATTTTATTCTTCCACATGATGAAACCCTACACCAATTTTTCCAATGGAGTTATAAATAGAATAAAAGAAGAATGTGTTGGATTTCTGAATTGTGGAAGATATGAGCTCAAAGTGTTGTCATTTTTGTAAGAGAATTCCTGATTAAAATTCATACAGCCTTTTGACATACTAGACTCTCTTTGCATGGCATTGCTCTTCACGAATATTGGCTTCAGGAGGGTTGTAAATTACGATGTCTATGTGTCCATTAGGGAATTTGAAGGTTCATCATTTGATTTTTGAGGTGATCATAGATACAACCTGCAGATAATTGCATAGTTGGCTCAGGAATTTCATCGAACACCATGAGAGCAGTATTTAAAAGGGTCATATGCATATGTTATTGCTGTGGCCGTATATATATATATATATCTGTTTGAAAGCTAGCTTTTATGACATGGGTGTGAATCATTCGGAATTGGAGAATCAATTTGAGCTTTCCCAGGCTCTGAGTAGAGAAGGGAACGTGAATTTTTAGGAACCGAAAGAGGCGGAGTGGGTTTTGATGTTTCTTGCTTCCTGGGATTCCCCGTGAGAGAGTCGTATTAAATTTGTGTCGAATACTAATCAATTTTAATTTAACCCCATTAAAGTAATTGTATCGGATCGTATCAATTTACTTATTTTTGTGTCGTTTTTTGTGTTAACCCAAATTTATAAATAAAAAATTTAACGTTCAATCTTATATTTAAACTTTTTTTATCACTTAATTAAACTTATGCTTATATTTTTTCTACAAACTAAAAATTTAACTTAATAAATATAATAATAAAAATGAGAAAATATATTTTTTTGTACAAGAATTAGGTAACTATTTGATAAAATATAATAAAAAATTGACATTTTATTTTTATAATATTACTTAAATGTGTTATTTGTGTCAATTTTGTATTATTCGTGTTTGACACTAATTCAGCCCATTTATTATTCGTGTCAATAGATCATATCATATATAAATTCGTATTGAAAAATTATTCACTCTAACCACTTAATTTTGAGTCATGTCTTGAATTGTATTGGAAATTATTACTCCAAACAAGAGACATCAAGGATCGGCAAGGGCCTGGCCCGTCCGAGTGGACCCACACTAATTAGTGGTCCAGGCCAGATAGGCCACTTCAAAATACGGACCACGGGTTGATCTTAACGGGGCAGTCTTTGGGTCTTCTGATTCTAGCAACTAGGTCCGTTAACAAATTAGATTTTAACCGAATTTTGATCGATCTAAATTCAAATTTAAAAGTTTGATTCGATAAATTAATGCATTTTATTTTCGTGGCTATATTTGAATCTGAAGGGTTTAAAACTTCATGATTACACGTAACACAGTATTAGATGTGCTCACGTGATGTTGATAAGACCAGCCATGTGATAAAGGATTATCTATTAAGAGCTTTCCAACCGAGCCAAGCTAATTAAATGTTCAATAATATATTGGTTCTCTCTATGACTAAACTCATCAGTCTATTCGGTCAAGCAATGAAAGAGTTCGACTTGTGCCAAGCCAAGTCCGATAAAGTATTCAACAAGGCAATTGAGAAAATCGGTTTGTGCCAAACCAAGTTTCTTAGTCTGTTTGGCAAAAATCAAGTGTGCTTGGCATATTGATATGTCCGAGCTGTTTTAGATAAACAGAAGGATAAAGATACACCTATAACATAGGCNTCGGAATTGGAGAATCAATTTGAGCTTTCCCAGGCTCTGAGTAGAGAAGGGAACGTGAATTTTTAGGAACCGAAAGAGGCGGAGTGGGTTTTGATGTTTCTTGCTTCCTGGGATTCCCCGTGAGAGAGTCGTATTAAATTTGTGTCGAATACTAATCAATTTTAATTTAACCCCATTAAAGTAATTGTATCGGATCGTATCAATTTACTTATTTTTGTGTCGTTTTTTGTGTTAACCCAAATTTATAAATAAAAAATTTAACGTTCAATCTTATATTTAAACTTTTTTTATCACTTAATTAAACTTATGCTTATATTTTTTCTACAAACTAAAAATTTAACTTAATAAATATAATAATAAAAATGAGAAAATATATTTTTTTGTACAAGAATTAGGTAACTATTTGATAAAATATAATAAAAAATTGACATTTTATTTTTATAATATTACTTAAATGTGTTATTTGTGTCAATTTTGTATTATTCGTGTTTGACACTAATTCAGCCCATTTATTATTCGTGTCAATAGATCATATCATATATAAATTCGTATTGAAAAATTATTCACTCTAACCACTTAATTTTGAGTCATGTCTTGAATTGTATTGGAAATTATTACTCCAAACAAGAGACATCAAGGATCGGCAAGGGCCTGGCCCGTCCGAGTGGACCCACACTAATTAGTGGTCCAGGCCAGATAGGCCACTTCAAAATACGGACCACGGGTTGATCTTAACGGGGCAGTCTTTGGGTCTTCTGATTCTAGCAACTAGGTCCGTTAACAAATTAGATTTTAACCGAATTTTGATCGATCTAAATTCAAATTTAAAAGTTTGATTCGATAAATTAATGCATTTTATTTTCGTGGCTATATTTGAATCTGAAGGGTTTAAAACTTCATGATTACACGTAACACAGTATTAGATGTGCTCACGTGATGTTGATAAGACCAGCCATGTGATAAAGGATTATCTATTAAGAGCTTTCCAACCGAGCCAAGCTAATTAAATGTTCAATAATATATTGGTTCTCTCTATGACTAAACTCATCAGTCTATTCGGTCAAGCAATGAAAGAGTTCGACTTGTGCCAAGCCAAGTCCGATAAAGTATTCAACAAGGCAATTGAGAAAATCGGTTTGTGCCAAACCAAGTTTCTTAGTCTGTTTGGCAAAAATCAAGTGTGCTTGGCATATTGATATGTCCGAGCTGTTTTAGATAAACAGAAGGATAAAGATACACCTATAACATAGGCAATCAGATAAACGAATCAACAAAATTGAAGATATCAGGAGGAATTATTGGAAAAATGTTAGCAACTTTCCAAACTAAATGACTAAATTAAAGAAAGTTGTGTCACCTTGAACCAAAAATCGTGGAAACCCTAAGGGGATAATGATCTATAAAAAGTAGAGGAGACCAAGGTGAAAGGTACGCTTAATTCTCCTAGACTTAGCACAATTCTTTCTGTTCTATTACTAACTAAAGTATCAGAGTGCCTTCAATCGAATCATTTCGATCTTGGGCAGTTTGTTCATTTTGCAGGAGAGAGTTGAGGAGATCATTCAGACTTCATTCCCAGAAATCGTATCACAAATTCATACAGAGGTATAACCAATTTTTTGCCTCTACATTTTGGCGCCGTCTGTGGAAATATCTTCATCTTTCAGAACAATAAACTACGATGTCAAGACTCAACAGTGCAATTGGATCACCCGTAGGAAGTTTTACCTTGGGAAACTCGGATCCTGTGACTCTTCCTTCTGACAGCAACGCAAGGTTGCATGCAGTCAGAAACCCCTCCAGAATCCATGAAGATGATGAGGTATCCTCCGCAAGTTTCAAGCCTTTGAAAAACTAGAACCAGCAAAGCTAGGATCATGGTAAATCCCTCCGTGTCGAGGGAGAAAACCACTCCTTGGCAAAGCTGGTTCAGTCCCTGCAGGATCAACCTGATGCCCACGACAAGCTGTTCAAGAAATCCTATGCAAGGGAGAAAGATTTGATCAAAGAAAATGAGGAGTTAAAAGCGAAGTTAAAGGAGATGACCAGAAGGGAAAAATGGGTGAGAGAGGATCGACAAGAAAGTCCTAAAAAGAAGCCCAATAGAGTTAAAATTACCGATGAGAAAGATTACCAACACAAGAAGCCTCAGATCCAAGATGAGGACACGTGGAAGCAGTACATCGACGAAGAGCTCAACATTCACTGGAAAAGACCAGGGCAGAGGTCGCCCAGAGACCTTGTCAGAAGAGCAACCAGGGAGTATGGAGACGGATTAGAGTCATCCCCATTCACTGCATGGGTTAAAAAGGCATGTATCCCGAGCAAATTTATCATCCCCAAACTTCAAGTTGTACGACGGAAAGACCGACCCAGCCTCGCATATCAAGCACTTTCGACAACTGATGACTATTCACCAAAAAAATGAGCCACTGTTTTGCACTATCTTTTCCAGCAGCCTTGGGGAGTCTGCTATGAAGTGGTTCGATAGCTTACCAAAGGGAACAATTGACGGGTGGTCTCAATTAGCCGAGTAGTTCACCATTCGATTCATCACAAGTAGTAAACAACCAAAGGATGTTGGGGTTCTACTGCCGCTAAAAAAGAAGAGTAACGAAAGCTTGTGAGAGTATATCGCTATTGGGAGACTATGAATGAAGTCGAAGGATGCAATCCAGATATTGTAGTTGCATCCTTCAAGATCAATTTACCGAAAGAAAACCCTTTATACCAATCGCTTACAAGGAGACCAGCTACTAACTTGGAAGAATGGATGGCAAGAATTAAAAAGTATGCCAAGGTTGATGACGACTTATCCAGGGAAGTGGTTAAGGAACACTCGAGTAGGAGGTAGCTCGGTAGAGACAAGTAAACCGAGCCGAACAGAGAAGGAGGACATAAATATTAGAAGGATGGATATCCCCAGAAATCCACTTTTCTAGGGGGTGAACAGATTGTTCAAGGAACCAATTTATAAAATTCTAAGTTAGATCAAAGGAAAGTCGTTCTTCAAATGGACGAACAAGTTAGTAAATGACCCATCTAAAAGGAATCCAAACTTTTGGTGCTCGTATCACAGGGATATTGGACACATGATAGAGAATTGTCGATCTCTCAAGCAACATTTTGGAGGAGTTAGCCCAGGTTGGACATCTCGCAGAATTCATTGAAAGTGACCAGAAAACAAATGGGAGGAGTGCCGAGCTAAAAGGGGACCACAACACTCTAGCTGGGGTAATTGATGTGATCTATGCTGCCACCAACCCTCAGATGTCCATAAACAACTCTGCTCAAGGCTTATATTCAGAAAGCTGCCAAAGAGAGAGAAGTGTATGAGTTAAGGATGACACTGGAGGTCGCTAATAAAAGAATCAAGATAGAGGATATTGTTG